AGCTTAGGCAATGCATTCATACAACAAAGGATCAGTCCCACGTAATTATATACTCTTAGTATTGGTCAAAATTAATGTCTCGATGACCATTATATTTTTAACGAGTAATTAATTCTCATTTTCTACTGAATCATTTTCTGGAAAACATAGTGAGAGTCTGAATCTACTTTGTGATAAAAGGGTGAAAGTTTCAAATAACAGTAAAGAGCTTAACATTTGTAAACATATAGTGCACGTACGACATTGTTGTTGCTGATATTTTTTGATGCATTTTGTTCTGCAAATTTCATTCCAGAGGAAATTTATTTATATCTTGGCACGTGTCACCAGCTTCGACGAACATGTTTTAGTTTCTCGCGAACCAGCGGTAGTCCACGGACTGATTGGGAACCACTACTTACCCGTGTCGGAAAAAAAAGCGAAAGTGTCAAAATAATGGAAGTATTGTTGTATTGCGGAAATATCTTCTTTTGATTTTAATATTTCACAGATGAGTGATTCATCACACAGAAAGTAACAGCGCCTTAAGTGTTGAGTCATTTATCTAATTCCCAATATATTGTTGTAGAGAGTATCAGCTCTAACAACCGAGCTTATGTACAATGATGGGAATGTTGTAGAGAGGTCTTCCAACCTGATAGCCATGCTCATATTCAATAGTCATATACAAATTCTTCCTGTTTGAAAACTAATATTCAATGATTGTTACCTTTCCTACTATATAAGCAGGTGAGCCTTAACGCTTCTCGACGAACAGCGTTCCTCCGAAATCCCTCTCTAAAGATCTACAAACCAGTCCACTGATCAACTCTACCTTTATTATTCACCAATATCTGTTAAGAATAAATATTCCCTAAACCAAGAAGTCTTCCACACAACTATCCGTCGTTGTCAACCACTGAAACAACGAGGACTTCTTCGACAAAACGCAGCTTTCATAACAAATGTGGTTTATTGAGATCCACCTTTATTTTGTCATCATTCCAATATGCCGGCAATACTTCCGGAATAGCAACATTTTGAATTTCGGTTTTCCAGCTTGAACCAAATATAAAAACCTTCTGCCGAGTTCGTTCCGGTAACAGTGGCTTTACGATTGTCCTGAAAAATGGACAAATAGATCTATAAAGGAAGGAATACATCATGTAGAATCCGGTCGCCACTACTTTCATTAACAAAAATATACTAATTAGTAGGAAAGAAATGGCATTTAAATAAAATAAGTATCACAGTAATCTAAATGATATGATTAATGATTACAATTAACAGATCATTTCTAAGTAAAAATAAGTAATCAATAATATCTACCAGATAGAAGTCA